TTCCTCTCCCATATATCTCTCACTCTACAGCCTTCATTTCTTGCAATAACTCTTAATCAAAGCATTTCCCTCTGCACCGAATTCCCACTTTGCTCCAAATTCCCAGTTACTCTGTTTCAGTCTCACTCTGGCAAAGTCTCCTTCACTCTATCCATGAGGCTGACTCTCAGTAAGGAAATAAACGTATTGTGTATCCTTGCAAATGTCTTCCATCCTTCCTATGGCATGATGCAAATCACTCTCTGATTTCTTTTGGAGAGGGCGGGTAGCTTGTTTAAATGAATAGCATCCTTATAGTTTTGTTTTGCATGATAACAAAGGGCCCATCTTGACTGTAACCCAAACAGGAGCTCTGAGGTAGCTGTGCTGCTTCATGGTTTACAGGGAACATTGGTTGGTGCCCAGAATTGGACACAATAGTCCAGCGGAGCCCTAACCAGTATTCTGTAAAGGAAAAAATTTCTTGCTTTTGTACTCTTACCAATTAAAGTGTCCCATCCCTGAAATTGTCCCTTCAGGTCTGTGTTCAGCGCCCTCTCAAAACCTAATGCTTTTCGATAATGATTGCACACACCACCTGCAAGTTCCCCTCAAAACCACTCACCATCCTGACTTGGAAACATATCACCATTCCTTCAGTAAGGCCATTGTGGGTCTACCTACAGGATATGGACTACAGTGGTTCAAGAAGACAGATGACCATCAGCTTTTCAAAGGCAATTTTGGTCGGGTCGCATGCTCAACATGAAAACTTGATGAAGAGTCACCTAGACTTGAAATGTTAGCTTACTGTCTCTCCATTGATGCTGCCTGAGCTGCTGTGATCTCCAGCAATTTTTGTTCCCAACATTAACCTTTTTCTCTACTTGAGATGCTAACTGCCCTGCTGTCCACAGTCACTATTTGTAATTGTCCCATTTTGAAAATTGTTGCCATTCTCTTTTCTTTTGATCTGTACAGATTCATCTTTCTCACGTGCTCATACTTTGTTACTTTCTCAGCACAATTTATTGGAAGGGTTAAGCTCAGAAGGAGTAGAATTTGTTACATCTCCTAGACAATGAATAACTGTGCAAAGTTAATGCCAAACAGGAAAAGGAAAAAAAAACACTGATGTCAATAGTAACATCGAAACCCACCTCATCTGTGTGTGAAACATTGAATTAACTGCAGAGCGACTGGAAAACAAAATAAAAAGCTACATTTCACAACCAAAGCAGAATTAAAGAAATCACACTCAACAACACTTAATAATTGGCTTTTAACGTACAACCCACTCCAAAACAAGAGGGATTATAGGACAAAGTTTGACATCCAGCTACATAGAGCAATATTAGAAGAGGTAACTATATACATTGTCAAAGAAATAAGAGAGAGAGATGAATGGATTTAGGAAGGGAACTTCAGAGTTTTGGGCCTATGCAACAGAACACAGCCGCCAGTAATGAAGCAATTAAAATCGGGGGTGTGCGAGAGAGGAAAATGAGAGAAATGAGGAGATATGGGGGCTGGGGAGGTTGATGGGATCAAGGAGGATAGGGATTTGGAAACAAAGTTAAGAAATTTAAAAATGGAGTTCTGTCAAAAGGGGAGCCACTGTCAGTCAGCAAGCAAGGAGGTTGATGAGTGAAGGGAAACAAATTAGGGTACAGGTTTTAGATGAACTTAGGTTTAAGGAGAGTGAAAGATGAATGGTGGACCAGGCGAGTGTCAGAACAGTGAGCATCAATCCCCTGATCAATATGAACTATGAATACGTGAATGAGGATCAGTTCTCTCCAATATTTTCTTTTCTATGCATTTCTTCCCCGTTGTGCCACCTATCTAATGTTTAACGTTAACTGTGACCTTATTTCTTTATTTTTCTACTTGTTCTATGAAGGTCTGTAATGTTTAACTTTTTGACTTTGTTTCTCTCTTTTACCACTTGGTACCTAAGTTTTTTTTTGTACCTATGTATCTTGGTACCTAAGATGGCACTATGTGTGGGGACATTAAACACTTTTCACTGTACTCCTGTACTTGAGTACACATGACAATAAAATCTAAATCTAAATCTAACTTGTCTGCACACAATGATGGCTAGACTAATTGCATGTTTTAGGTCATCAGCTTGCTATCCAAGTTCAGCAACAAGGTGAGAAGGTACTGCAGAATGTTTCTATTTCACCTCGGGAATAAATGGCCCTGTTAGTATTCGAAACTTGGGCTTAATTACTAGCCCCCAATCCAGCGCTCAGACACAGCTGAGTTTGCTAACTATTTCATGCAATCCCAGTAACAATGAGAAGTAGTTTTAGTCACCTGGGAGCTCAAAGTAAATATCTTGGCAAATGAAAGACTTTCCGTCCCCGTCCCTTGTGCGAATTTTCAAATTCCCCTGACGAGTGTCCCGTGGAATGAGAGAAGGTGGTTTAATTTAGCAAGAGAATCAGGGTAATCTGATGCGGGTAGATGAGCATTGACTCAATGATTTCCATTTGTGGAGGTCAGCTGCAACACCAGCAAAGCACCCAGAATAAGGTCTCAGTATTCCCAGCAATTATCATGTTCCTCTTTCGGGACACTGTTGAGTGTAAACATCAGGATAGAATGAAGATAATTGCCTTATTTGTGTGTGGGTTTTAGTTGGAACACAGAGCGTCCAGAAGCTGGGTAGTAGGTAATGCTTCGGGGGAGCATAGTTGTTTGTTCTGGGCGATACCTCATTATTGTGAGAACAATAGCCCACTACTAACAATCATGTTTCCTCCAAATGTATCACACCTAGCTTCTAGGCTCTGGAGAACTCAATAAGACCATTCCAACCTACAGGGCCTCTGATGTTGCAAATACAACAAAGACATATACGACTCAGTACCCAAACTAACAATGACATTCCCATCCAGCACTTCCAGCAGTACCTGCCAAACCCACAGTCACTATCACCTGGGTCAAAAAGGACAGCAAATTAATGGGAACACTACCAACAAGCTCTTATCCAAGTCTGATTTGGAAATTCATAGCTGTTTTCTCACTGTTGTTATGATGGGATAATGTGGGAGATGTCTGGACCAAGGGACTTGAGAGCCCCCTGTGAATCCCGCAAATCCCGCAAATCCCGCAAATCAGTCAGAGCTAGAATACATGTGTGCATGTATGTGTATCTGTGTGTGTGTGTGCACGTGTGTCTGTTCACGTGTATGTGTGCGTATGCGCGCGCATGTCAGTCTGTGTGTCTGCATGTGTGTCTGTATGTGTGCATGTCTGTGTGTGTGTATGTCAGTGTATGTTTGTCTGTGTGTGTATGTGCGCATGTCTGTGTGTATGTGTGTCTATGCGTGTGTCTGTCTGTGTGTGTGAGTGTCTGTATGTGTGCATGTCTGTGGGTCTGTGTGTTTGTGTGGTTGTGTGTCAATGCGTGTGTGTGTGTGTGTGTGTGTGCCTGTGTCTTTGTGTGTGTGTGTGTGCACGTGCTTGTGTCTGTGTCCTTGTGTGTACATGTCTGTGCATGTCTGTTTGTGTGTGTGTGTGTGTGTCAGTGTGTGCACGTGTCTGTATGTCCATGTGTGTGTGCATGTCTGCGTGTGTGTGCATGTCTGTGTGTATGTGCGTGTCTGTGTATGTGCATGTCTGTGTATATGTGCACATGCGTGTTGTGTGTGTGTCTACGTGTGCGCCTGTCTGTTTGTGCGTGTGTATCTGTGTGTGTGTGCCTGTGTCTGTGTCTTTGTGTGTGTGTGCACATGTCTGTGTATGGCTGTTTGTGTGTGTGTGTGTGTGCACATGTCTGTTTGTGAGTGTATGTGTATGTGTCTGTGTGTGCGCGTGTCTGTGTCTGTGTGTGTGGTGTGCTGTGTGGGTCTGTGTGTGTGTGCATGCTTGTGTCTGTGTCTGTCTGTTTGTGTGTATGTGTGTGTCTGTATGTGTGTGTGTGTCTGTTTGTGCACATGTCTGTTTGTGCATGTGTGTGCATGGTGTGTGCACATGTATGTGTGCACTTATGTGTGTGTGTGAGAGTGTGTGTGTGAGAGTGTGTGTGTGTGTGTGTGTTTGTGAAGCAGGCATGTCACACTAGTTGTATGTGGTCCGTATCGTGAAGCAGAACTCGAAGGACAATCATTTTCCATTGCATTGAGGTCCCATTGTTATACAGTAGAATATCTACACGTCTGCAGCATTTTATAGAAATGAAGGAGGCCATGTATATATAAAATATATAGCACCACAATATCCCAAAGTTCATTGAAATAATTTTGACATGTAGTCACTGTTGTAATGTAGGAGACACAACAGATGTTTGTATATAGAAAGTTCCCACAAAGAGTGACCTGCTATTCGTTCAGAATGAAGTACTAGCCAGATGCTTTCTTTTCAGTGGTATTGATTGAGGGATAAATATTAACCAAGTGATAGGAATAATATCACAAGATGTTCTTCTAAATAGTGCATGCATTCTCTTATGTTCAGAGCAGACAGTTAAAACCTTGGTTTAGCAATTCATCTGAATGGAGTAACTCCAGTAGCCTCAGTGCCCAGCCTGGATTATGTGCTCAACTTTGTGGAGTGGGTCTTGTCCCCCCATTAACCTCACCTCAGAGACAAGAGTGGTACCTGCTGAACTGAGCATCTGGTGGACTCTGAATTTAACCATTTGCTTATAATGTATCATACTCTATAACTTCGATAGAGTTGTGTTAAGTAGGGTTATTAAAGGTCATGACAGCAAGCCAGTTAGAGGAAGTTAAGGTATTGATCAGCCATGATTTAGTTGAACGTCAGAGATGGCTCAAGGGAAAATCTGTGGCCAAGTAGTTGTCCTGTATTGTTTAAAATTCATTAACTGCGATGTGTTAAGGCCAAGTTAAACTATAATACAGTAACAGCACATATATATCAGTATAATTCACATTACATTTAACTCACCAATATGTTTTCAGATAAATTTCATCTTCCCCAAAAATAATAATGCTCGTGCAACTATGTTTAACACTTTATTCTAATTATCATTTCTTTTGTACTCACTTGCCATTGTTCAGTATAACAGTGCTGTTTGGCCAGCAATCATGATTTACAAGACAGAGGTTTGGAAATAATCCAACTCCCACAGCTTGCAATCCACGTTGGTCACTGATGGTAAAGCCATTGCAGTTTATCTGGTGAATTAAAAACATAATTTGTTTTCATTGTTAAATCCTGTATTTAAAAATGCCATTAAATTCTCTTTCTAAATTATTGATCACATTTCTTCCGCCTAAAAAGAAATACTTGCATTTACGTAGCATCTGCACGGGTTTCCTCCGGGTGCTCCAGTTTCCTCACACAGTTCAAAAATGTGCAGGTTAGGTGGATTGTCCATGCCAAATTGTCCATAGTATTCAAGGATGTGTAGATTAGGTGGGTTATGGGGGATGGATCTGGGTGGGATGCTGTGAGGGTCAGTGTGGACTTGTTGGGCCGAAGGGGCTGTTTCCACACTGTAGGGATTCTGTGATTTATGATCTATGATCTTTTCATTACCTCAGAGTGTTCCCAAAGTACGTTGCAACCCATTAAGTAGTTTTGTAGCACAACTACGATGGAGAAAGAGACAACTAATTTGTGGAAATCAAGTTCCCATATTGCATAGAACCATCTTATCTGTTTTGTGTGATTAGGATATCTATTTTGGCCAAATGCTTAATACAAACTTAATACAAACATGGAAAATGCTGGAGGAACTCAGCAGATCTGACAGCATCTGTAGAGAGAGAAACAGAGTTCATGTGTTTGTGTCTGATATGACTCTTCATACCAGGGTTGGAGAAGAATGTAAGGGAAATGAAGAACTGCTGGTCAAACTCTAAAACTGTGAATTCATTATTGAGTCCTAGAGACTGTAATGTGACCAAGTGGAAAATTTGGTGCTGTTCCAGATTGCACTTATTGGAACACTCTAGCGGACCTGAGAAATGTTAGCATGAGATCAAAGGTGGTTTATTGAAATGGTAAACAACGAGTAGGTTGGGATCATTCCTACAAACAGAGTGGAAGAGTTCTGCAAAACAGTCATCCAGTCTTCATTTGGTCTCATCAATAGAAAGGAGACTGTAATGTGAGCAGCAAATACAGGAGGCTACATTGAAAGAAGTACAAGTATATTGCTGCTTTGCCTGGAAGGTGTGTTTGGGCCTTTGGACAATGAGAATGGAGAAGGTGAATGGGCAAGCTTACACCTTCTTATAATTACATGGGCAGGTGCCATGGGGGAGCGAGGAAGTGTTAGGAGGGCTTCGAAATTGCCCAACCCAGAGTAGGTTTCTCATCTTTGTCACCCTTAGGCTTCCTCCAAGTATTATTGAATGTAGAGGAGCACAGAGTCATCAGTCAAGGGAGGACGGTATGTGGTAATCAGCAGGAGGTTTCCTTACCCATGTTTAACATGAAGCATGAGACCTCATGGAATGCGGAGTCAATGTTGAGGACTCCCAGAGTAACACCCTCCCAACTGTATACCACTGTACTGGGTCTGTCTGCTGGTGGGACAGGATAAATCCAGGGCTGGTGTTGTCTGGGACCTTGTCGGTAAGGCAAGATTCTGTGAGTATGACTATTACTTGACTAGTCTTTGGGGCAGCTATCCCCATTGTGGGAGTAGCCCCCAGTGTTAGTATGCAGGACTTTGCAGGGTTGTTTTGGCGTTGTTGTTTCTGGTGCTTAGGTTGATGCCAGGGGATCCATCAGTTTCATTCCTTTCTTCCCTTCAATTTGTTGATACACTGGCATGGCTTGCTCGGTCATTTCAGAGGACGAGTGAAAGTCAACCACATTGCTGTAGGTCTGGAGTCACAAGTAATCCAGACAAAATAAAGATGTTTAGATTTCCCTCCCTCAAGGATGTTAATGAACCAGATGGGTTTTTACAACAATTTTCTCATGGTTATCATTGCAATTTTCTGTGATCGGATTCATTTTGATCTCACACTATGTGTTTTGTCGTGGAAGCTCCAGGGCTGAGAACAAACTGATTTGTTACAGATCCCTACTGTTGTCAGAGGCTGGTACAGCCACACAATGCACACAGAATTTATTTAGCATCTAAACAAAAACTTCGATTGTCATTGGTAGTGGAGTATCCTGTAGTGGTATGGAGCAGGAGTTGCAAAGTCAGTAATAGAGAAAATGGTTATGATTTTCTACAGGGCAGCCCGAGTGTAAGGGCGAGTACTTTCAGTGGCAGATCCTGGGCCATAAAAATTGTCGGGTGAGGCCTTGTCGTCAGGGAATCCAACGGCAAGAGTGTAAATCTTTCTGTTTCAGTTCTGGTGGGGTGGGGATCACCAGGGGTGGGGTTCCAGGAGTCAGAGACAAGGAAAGGAGTTGGGGTTGACTTTCAGGAGCTAAACTCTTGCAGTAATTGTGCCAGATTGGGACAAGTAGAGATCCCTCGGTACCCATCCCACCTGGTCAGGCACTTGGACCTTGTTTCCCTGACCAGCCACTTATTAGGCACCACAAGAAATTGTGTTAGTGGTGACTTGAAGCCCTTAAGTGGCCATTAATCATCTCTTAAGGCCCCCCATTATTGACAGGCCAAGAAAGTTTCCAAAAGAGCTTCTCACCCAGAGCTTTACTGGTGTAGTGGCCAAAATAGGTATCTTTCCAAAGATAACCCACTCAATTATTCATCCTTGTTGCACCTCCAGGGAGAGGAAACTCAACCAAATGAGCCAAATACATTCCCTCTGTACCATAAATTGTCAATGTTTCTAAAGTACATGAAGCAATATCCACACACAATGACAAAGTAGTTCACAAAATATCAAGAAACTTTTATATTATTTCAAACTCGTGAATTACATTCCATTTATCTTTCATATCTAAGTAATTGGGACTTGTAAAATATCATTACTCCATAAAATTGGCACTGCAAATGGTTTGGTTATGGCCTCAAGTGTGTAGTAGTTGAAGCTGGAATAATCAACTTTGTATGAGGGAATTGGTGAAAGCTTTAAAGGCTGAGGTAGATTGATTCTTGATTGACAAGAGAGTCAAAGGGGACAGGAGGTAGACAGGGAGATGGAGTTAATGCCTCAATTAGATCAGCCCTTGTCAAATGGCAGAGCAGGCTCATGGGTGTGAATGGTGTAATCGTGCTCCTGTATATTAGTGTGCGAAGTGGTCTAAAATACCATCAATGTTATTGCGTACTGTATTTATGTCACATACTCCAGGAAACTGAGGCTGCAGGACTGTGTAAAATGCGCTGAAGCAGAACTGGGATCAGTTCCTAAGAAGGGATCCTAACTCAGATTCTTGACAGCCCGTCTCACATTGGATTTCCATTTCAATCTCCCAAACCAGACACAGTGGTCTCTCTATGTGAGATTTCCTCTGGTTAAATCGTACCAATCTGTGCTGTGGGGTAGTCCCACGAGAAACATGTCTAGGTATTTTTTCAAGACTATGAATAGTTCCACTATCACCTCCAGGTGGCGCTGAGAGCACGTTTGTACGAAAAAGTGAACAAGTCATTCAGAAGTGTTGGAATGCAACAGCTGATTCAAAGACAGTGACTTGCATTCAGTTCCTCCTTTGTATTACCAGGTTATTGATCCAGTACATTATTCCCAATTTCTTTAATAAATTCCTCTTTATACCTGAAAACACTTTCTCTGCCTTTGCCTATGTCCCATATATACTACCCCAGTATATCCTGTATGTTTTATGAGTACCAAGGGCACTTGCAGGGCATCCTAAAACTCAGCCTCAGTAAGTCCTAGAAATTACACACCCCCACACCACTACCCTGGATGTTGCTATGAACCATTCCAACACGAGACAAAGATTGAGCTGCCTGACTATCAAGCTTTATCATCATTTTCTCCCAAACATTTTTTGTTCAAAGTAGTCACTCAATTTAGTCTACTGCATTCGCTGCTCACAATGTGGTCTCCTCTACATTGGGGAAGCGAAGTGTAGACCCCTTTGATCCATCCCTTTATCCCTAGGAACTATATCTAACTCCTTGAAATCATTCAATATTTTTGCCTCAATATTTTGGGTTCTGCAGCAGAGATTTTCACAGGCTTACCACTCTCTGGGTGAAGACATTTTTCCTCATCTCAATCCTTAGTCTGTAATCTCTGGTTCTGAACTCCCCAGTCATTGGGAACATCCTTCCTACATTTACACTGTCGAGCCATGTTAGAATTTTATAGGTTTCTATGAGATCACCCCCTGTCTCTTTTAACTTCAAGTGAACATAGTGTCAACTGCTCCAGTCTCTGTTCCTACACCTGTCCTGCCATCTCAGGAATCAGTCGGATAAACTTTACCAACTTCTCACAGCATAATACTCACATGACACTTATCCCTGAAAGTCACTTTTAGCAGCATCTTTGTTTAACTGAGGTCACTGTTTCAGCATAACTTACCACTCCAAATATATGGGCTATGGATTGACTGTCAAAGTGCTGATTGTTTGAGTGCCAATACTTGTGCAAAACTTCAACGTCTGACATGAGCTGTCTCTTCTCTTCCTCACTCAGGTCATCCACATGGTCCTGGAGATCCGCAAGGGATGAGAGGCGGTCTTCAGAAACATTGTCTCCCTCTCTCGCCATTCGCCACAAAATACGGGAAGCCAGTCTGAAAGCAACGCCAAAGTATCAAGTTACTTCTAGAGCACAGAGTGCTGAGGAGGGATCTGATTGTGGTGTAACAAAGTTCTGAGGGTCGTAAACCAGGTATAGAGAATTGGACTTGCCCCCTTCATAGGGCGCACTGTTTTGAGTTAAGGTGTTGGAGGTTTACAGGGGCTTTGAGGAAAGATTTCTACACCCAGAGGGTTGTGGGTATATGGAACTCACTGCCTAAGAGACCGGAACCCTCAAGGCATTTAAGACCTATTTAGATGAACATTTGAAACACCATTGGATGCAAGGCTATGGGCCAAGTTTTGGAAAATGTAACTAGAATATTTGGATGTTTGTTTGCCAAAGGGATGAAAGATTATTGGGAATATGAAGGAAAGCAGAGTTGAGGTCAAAAGTAAATCAACCATTATCTTATTGAATAGTGGAGTAGGCTTGAAGGGCAGAATGGCCTACTCTTGTTCTTTGTTCATATGACCATATGAAGGAGCAGGAGCAAAATGGGCCAAAGATCCTTCTTCCAGGCTGTTAAAAACTCTATGACTCCATCGAATGGCATAGCACAGCAAGTCCACTGAGATTGTGGCAGTGTTTAGAAAGTGGTATTCAAATGTTGCTAGCCTTCTGTCCCTGCCAATATAGCCCCCAAAATGTTTCACCTTCAAGTATGTGTAACCAGGTAGCTTTAGAAAGTTACTGTTGGATTTGTTTCTACGCTGCTTTCAGGCATGGTAATACACATCATAGCAATTTCTTCAACAGCACTTTCCAAATCCAAGATCACTACCACCTAAAAGGGAAAGGCAACAAATACAGGGGAGTATCACTAGCTGTCAGTTCCCCCTGTATGTAATAACCCTAAATTTGTTGGGTTAGCCAAAATGAGAGAAAAAAACACCACATTAGAAAAAGTCAATAGGTCGGAAGATGACCTAGCCATTAGATGGTACAAAAACAAAGTTGCTGGAAAAGCTCAGCAGGTCTGGTAGCATCTGTGAAGGAAAAATACAGAGTTAAC